TCACCAAAAATAATTCATGACCCCGAGTTAGGCATCCCAGCTCTCCATACAATACATAGGGAGAGATAGGTGCCTAAGAATGGGATTCACAAAAGCCAGCCTGCTGAGTGGGGAGCTGCCTAGGCTAGTCAATAGGAAATGTTGAGGCGAGGGGAGTGGCTTAAGTCCCCCTGCAAAGCCAGGTCAGCCCTTTCTCAGGGAAAAACTGAGGAGGAGATGGTGTCATTTTTTAGCTCAGTGGTAAGGACACTCACCCAGGTGGGAGATCTGGGTTCCATTTCCCTACTCTGTTTGAGGTGAAGAAGAGGGTTTCCCCTTGGCCAGGAGAGTACCCTATTCACTGGGCTATGGGGTATTCTGGGGCAGGTCTTTCTAAATCTCTCCTGTTGAAACTGGTCCCCACTGTGTGTAAATAATTAAATATGCATTTGAGCAGAGGTACTAGAATTTGGGTCTTCCTCCTCCCGGTTAGTGTCCTAATCACTAGGCAGTAGTCATTCTTTCTCTCTGACCCACTGTATACAGAGTGGATCAGCTTCAAAACATCCATTTTGTGTGGGTTTAGGTGTGCTTTGAGCATGCCTACTAGACTAGGCCCAAAGGCAATAGGCAGAGGCCATATCTAGTCTGAGGATATGGCTACACTATGAAATTAGGTCGAATTTATAGAAGTCGATTTTTAGGAAGCGATTTTATACAGTCGATTGTGTGTGTTCCCACTAAGTGCATTAAGTTGGCGGAGTGTGTCCACAGTACTGTGGCTAGCATCGACCTCCAGAGTGTTGCACTGTGGGTAGCTATCCCACAGTTCCCGCCGTCTCCGCTGCCCATTGGAATTCTGGATTGAGCTCCCAATGCCTGATGGGCCAAAAACACTGTTGTGGGTGGTTTTGGGTACATGTCGTCAGTCGCCCCTCCCTCCATGAAAACAAAGGCAGACAATCGTTTCAAGCCTTTTTTTCCATGCAGATGCCATACGGCTTTCAGCAGACGGTGCAGTAGGACTGCTAACCGTCGTCGTCCAACCACCACTGCCGCTGCAACTCTGCTCTCCTGCTCGTGTCTTGATAGCGAATTTCTCCACGTTGTCTGTCATGGGCTCCCGGGAATATATGTTCTGCCTCGAGAAATGTGTGCGATGCTAACCGTTGTCATCCACCTCTTCCGCTGTAACTCTACTCTTCTGCAGACACCATACCACAGCAAGCATGGAGCCTGCTCAGCTCACCACTGCTGTTGTGAGCATTGTAAACACCTCGTGCATTATCCTGCAGTATGTGCAGAACCAGAACCTGCAAAAGGCGATGACAGCGCAATCACAATAGTGATGAGGAATGGACACAGACTTCTCTCAAAGCACAGGCCCTGGCAATTTGGACATCAGGGTGGTAATGGGGCAGGTTCATGCCATGAAATGCCGATTCTGGGCCCGGGAAACAAGCACAGACTGGTGGGACCACATAGTGTTGCAGGTCTGGGATGATTCCCAGTGGCTGCAAAACTTTCGCGTGCGTAAGAGCACTTTCAGGGAACTTTGACTTGCTGTCCCCTGCCCTGAAGCGCAAGAATACCAAGCTGAGAGCAGCCTTCGCAGTTGAGAAGCAAGTGGTGATAGCCCTGTGGAAGCTTGCAACGCCAGACAGCTACCGGTCAGTCGGGAATCAATTTGGAGTGGGTAAATCTACTGTGGGGGCTGCTGTGATCCAAGTAACCAATGTAATCGCTGAGCTGCTGCTATCAAGGGTAGTGACTCTGGGAAATGTGCAGATCCTAGTGGATGGCTTTGCTGCAATGGGATTCCCTAACTGTGGTGGGGCAATAGGGATATGCGTTCAGTCTATCATGGGACCGGACAACCTTGGCAGCCAGTACATAAACCGCAAGGGGTACTTTTCAATGGTGCTGCAAGCAGTGGTGGATCACAAGGGACATTTCACAGACATCAATGTGGGATGGCCGGGAAAGGTACATGACGCTCACATCTTCAGGAACTCTGGTCTGTTGGAACAGCTGCAGGAAGGGACTTACTTCCCAGACCAGAAAATAACTGCTGGGGATGTTGAAATGCCTATAGTTATCCTTGGACCCAGCCTACCCCTTAATGCCATGGCTCATGAAGCCATACACAGGCACCCTGGACAGTAGTAAGGAGCTGATGAACTATAAGCTTAGCAAGTGCAGAATGGTGGTAGAATGTGCATTTGGATGTTTAAAAGCACGCTGGCGCAGTTTACTGACGTGGCTAGACTTCAGCAAAACCAATATTCCAATTGTTATTGCTGCTTGCTTTGTGCTCCACAATATCTGTGAGAGTAAGGAGGAAATGTTTATGGTGGGGTGGGAGGTTGAGGCAAATTGCCTGGCCGCTGATTAAGTGCAGCCAGACACCAGGGCGATTAGAAGAGCACAGTAGGGTGTGCTGTGCATCAGAGAAACTTTGAAAACAAGTTTCATGACTGGCCAGGCTACCGTGTGACAGTTCTGTTTTTCTCCTTGATGAAAACCCGCCCCTTTGGTTCACTCTACTTCCCTGTAAGCCAACCGCCCTCCCCCGTTCGATCACCACTTGCAGAGGCAATAAAGTCATTATTGTTTCAAAATCCTGCATTCTTTATTAATTCATCACACAAATAGGGGGATAACTGCCAAGGTAGCCCAGGAGCGGTGGGGGAGGAGGGAAGCACCGAGTGGCGTGGTGGATGAAGGGAGGAGGGAAGGACAAGGCCACACTGCAATTCAAAACTTATTGAATGCAAGCCTTCTGTTGCTTGGGCAGTCCTCTGGGGTGGAGTGGTTGGGTACCCGGAGTGGCCCCCTCCCTCCCCACCCATTCTTGGGCGTCTGGGTGAGGAGGCTATGGAACTTGGGGAGGAGGGCGGGCGGTTATACAGGAGCAGCAGCGGCGGTCTGTTCTCCTGCTGCCTTTCCTGCAGCCCCATCAGATGCCGGAGCATATCAGTTTGATCCCCCAGTAGCCTCAGCATTGCATCCCGCCACCTCTCTTCTCGTTCGTCCCTCCTTTCCTCGCGTTCATTTTCTGCTTTCCTGGACTCTGACATTGTTTGTTTGCATTCTGCTAAGCTCTTTCAGTGTGGGAGGACTGCATGAGTTCAGAAAACATTTCATCGCGAGTGCTTGGTGTTTTTTTTTCCGCCCCCCCCCCCCGTCTTATCTACACTAGCCTCTGGGATGGAGATGATGGGGTAGCGTTGAAACATTTGCAGCTGCGGGAGGAAAAAAAGGGAGAGTAGTATTTAAAAAGTCCCATTTTAGAGAACAATGGGTAGACTCTTTCACGGTGGACCAAGCTGTTAACATTACATAGCACATGTGCTTTCGGTACAAGGTCACATTTTGCCTCTTATATCGAGGACCTGCCGGTTTGGTGTGAGAGATCACACACGCAGGGCTGGGCAACAGAATTATGCTTACAGGCAGCCATGGTAATACACAGTCTTTCAGCTTCTTCAGCCTTCATAACAACATGTGGGAATGGTTTCAAACAGCAGCTCCCTCCTTTCCCATACTAAGCACCCGTTGGGATGCATTTGTGGCCAGTACAGCCCCTCCTTTTAAATGGCCGACCCAAGTCTTCAGGGCAAATTTAATCATTAAACACACTTACTTTTTAAACCATGCATTATATTTACAACGGTACACTCACCAGAGCTGCCTTCTCCGGCTTCATGGTCCGTGAGCCCACCTTGGGAGGGTTGGGACGGTATTGGCTCCAGGGTGATAAACAGTTCCTGGCTGTCAGGGAGAATGGTTTCTCCGCTTGCGTGCTGTGCGCTATCCTCATCCTCCTCGTCCCCCAAATCCTCATCCCTGTTGCATGAGACATTTCCCCCCCCCCCTTGCAGGTGTCCACAGACAGGGGTGGGGTAGTGGTAGGGGGCCCCCCCTATAATTGCATGCAGCTCATCATAGAAGCAGCATGTCTGGGGCTCTGACCCAGAGCGGTCATTTGCCTCTTTGGCTTTTTGGTAGGCTTTCCTGAGCTCCTTAATTTTCACGTGGCACTGCTGTGGGTCTCTGTTGTAGCCTCTGTCCATCATGCCCTTGGAGATTTTTTTTTTTTTCCCCCAAATATTTTGGCATTTTGTCTTTTGGAACAGAGTTCTGATAGCATGGATTCATCTGCCCAAACAGCGATCCGATCCAGTACCTCCCATCCAGTCTATACTGGAGCTCTTTTGCGATTCTGGGACTGCATGGTCACCTGTGCTGCTGAGCTCGCCACGCTGGCCAAACAGGAAATTAAATTCAAAAGTTCCCAGGGCTTTTGCTGTGTACCTGGCTAGTGCATCTGAGTTGAAAGTGCTGTCCAGAGTGGTCACAATGGAGCACTCTGGGATAGCTCCCGGAGGCCAATACCGTCAAATTGTATCCACACTACCCCAAATTCGACTCAGCGATGTCGATTTCAGCACGAATCCCCTTGTCGGGGAGGAGTACAGAAATCAATTTTAAGAGCCCTTTAAGTCGACAAAAATGGCTTTGTCATGTGGACGGGTGCAGGGTTAAATCGATCTAACGCTGCTAAATTCGACCTAAACTCGTAGTGTAGATCAAGGCTAAGAATCCCACTAGGATTTGGGTGCGAGTTAGATGCTGAGCTGCAGGCTGGTGTCCGGATTTGAGGCTACTGTGCACCTGTTTGGTGCTTTGGAGACTTTAACAGTGGAAACTTAGGTGCCTAGGGACTATGGACACCTACAGGGTTAGGGGGTTTGTGATGGCCAGTGGCACCTAAATGTTGGATTAGGTCCCTAAAGTAGCAATTAGGCACCTATATCCTCCTTGTGAATCTGATACTCAAGCATCTGTCCTCTTAATATATTACTATGGACCTAATCCTTGGACTTTGTTCTGTTAGTGAGAGAGAAGCATGCACATTATGCTATTAATGCCAATTCTACTGGATTTCTCAAAATCCTTTCTTTCTTGAAAATAAGTATAAGAAAAACTGGAAGCAATAGTAATAATATAACAATGGAAACATATCGAACAATTTATTTTATATCAACAGAATATAAAGGAAAATATATAATGTTTTTGCTTCATATAACAAGAAATTTATTCATAAACTGTACTCATAATAACTTAATACACAAACTAATCAGTAAGAATGTACAGTATCAAAAGCCATGCTTGAAAGACAGACATGAAACCTTTTTGCCTCAATGCTGCACTGTCAAAGAAGATTAAAAACTTGCCAAAAAGTCAGGAAAAAATCCTTTAAAATGCTTCCTGAATATTAAATGGAGAATTGTCTGATGCTATCAGAGTTGCAATATCTTATTCTTTACTCAGAAATAATTACAATGCATGTTCTAGCCACATGTAAAAAGTGAAATGTCTTGCCTATTATGTTACAAGTCAGTTCAGAATTTTTTAAACTTTCCCTGCTATCCAAACCAAACACAGGCCTTTTAATAAGGAGGGTTTGTTCCTATTTAATTCTCTGCTATAATTTTGTAAAATATTTTATAGTATCTCTGTTGTAAAATCATTTGAGCTATTTTACATGACAGAAATATGGCATCAAAGCATGGCGAAGTGCTGTTTTAACTGTTTGATGAGCTGTTGTGTATCAACATGACCTGGAAATGCTTCCTTTGACTTCTGAGCAGCTATATAACTCCTCTGGAGATCTCCAACCTGCAAGACACATACACAAACACTCTAGTCACAAACAGTGCACTATTTATTGCATGTACTCTGAGCAGCACACTTTCTGATGCCATGACACTTCCTCCCCAAGTGTCCAAGTAAGCTGGTCCCAAGACTGAACAAATAAGTTTGATATAGGCCTAAAACCTCTAGTACAAGTGAGGGCTTTGAATAGAAAAGGACAAGGTACTGCAGGAGACCTCTATGTAACCTGTGAACCATAGAACACAGCACTGTGATGACCTCATCAAAAAGACCTTCAGAGGGAGGATTTAAGAATAGGTGGGCTGGAGTCCTGGCTAGAAAGGCTGTCACTACTTATATACCAGTGTATTACGTTGGGTGTAGGGGTTACATTAGCGGACTGCATACAAAGCTGGTCTGCCCTAACTCCTGTAAAGTTTCCCTGTGCACAGCCTATGTAAATAGGCAACATGTAGAGACCAGGATACAGTCCTTCATCAGTAAGTATGGCAAATCATTTTTACACTTTAAATCTTGTGCTTTACAATGGAGAGGGTATGTTTAAGAATTAGTGGGTTATTCTCACTTTGATGTATGCACATAGCTCTTTCGTGTTAGTGAGCTACCCACATAGCAGACTTGCATCTGAATCTTCTTCAAGGTGAAGGCAGAGGCAAAGAGCAATTTGTACTTGCAAAACATTTCAAGACCTGTACACGCTACTCTTTTTATTACCAATGAGATTGTAATAGATAATGGGCATGAGTTTAAGAAAATTTTCTCAAGTTAGCTCGTCTTATCTACAGCACTTGATTCAAAACTAGTTTCCTACACATACTCTAACACGTCAAACTTATTTTCAATATAGATCAGGATAGCTCTTCTGCATTTTTCTTTCAAACTAAGTGAACAAAAGATAAATTACCAGTTCAATAACTGAAGTGTCTCTTATGACAGAAGTGAATAAAAAGCAAAAGTCAAAGGCATTAAAGTTGAAAAATATTATATTCCAGTATCCTGTAAAATTATGGCATAAACAATTTTAACATTCTTTTCCCTGTTAAGAAATCATAATAGGATGCTATTTTACTACTTAATATACAAAATGATCAAATAACTATACAGACCACAAATGAAGTGAAAATTCTATAATTCAGTAAATTTATGCAAATCCAAGGAATTACTACATAGCTAAAGGCCTTCAAAGTAGACACTTTTATTCTCAAAGGAAATTTGATTGATGGTGTTGGAATTCCAATCCCTGTGCATTACAGTGTAGACATACATGTTTAATCTAAAGGGTAGACGCTTTGCATTTTTTCATTCACGTGTCTGAAAACTTGTTACATGCAAACAAAACTTGTTAAGCTTTCAGATGACAGAAGAAGAAGAAAACAGTACATTACCTGGTCAGAGAGTGCTGCAAAATTGAAATGGGGCTCATACATATGAGGTGCTAAAGATGAAGCAGTCTGCAGTAATGCTCTTGCCTACATAGATTAAAAACAAGACTATATTGAAACATGTGAATGGGGGTGGAGAGGGAGAATGAGGAGAAAATGTGTTTTGTTCTGTGACGACATCATCTTGGATTGTCCCATAAGTCTTAAAATACACATGAGCAATATTCACCACTATATAAAGGCATAATTACAATTTAATAGCAGTGAAATTAATGGGAATCGCGCCTGTATTAACAAGGCAGAGTTGGAGCTTTAAATAGGCAATTTAGTACTAAATACCAAATAGAACATATTCCTCAAAAAAGGGGAAACTTTGAGAAACTGATCTAAATTTCTAATGGAGTTGGAGCTACTGTCTATTAAAACACTGCCTAATGCTCTGGAGTATTAAGTGTCCTTGAAAACCTAAAATCTGATCTCCTGAAAATGACATTTTTCAGGTTTAAGATGTCCCAGTGTGTATTGTTTTTATTGGGAGTTTTATGGTTTTCTTTTCACTTACTTTGCTATTAGCTCCCCTAAAATTCCAGAATCCTGAGCTGGATGAAATACAAATGAACATGTATCTGATATTATTCTATTCCCCCTGCATTTTCCCTGAAGCATTGTTCCAGTGAGCTGGCCAGGGAATGAAATTGACAAGAGTTCTGCTCTCTGCAGTGCTTGGAGAGCAGAATTCTCATCACTCGCTGTCCCCTGCAGGCTCACAAGAACAGATCCGACAGGAAGAGCTGAAAGATGGTGAGAGGTGCATGTAAGCATCCATACTCTCAAATGATCCAGCATTCTGATTTGCTCAGCCTAAACAGCTGATGTTTTTCACACTTTTTTTGGAGAGCTGATGATTTTAAAACAAACAAACCAACAACCTGTAGTTGCATGAAAAGTTTGTGGGTGTGTGGATTTTTTGAGGTTGTCAGGTTTGAAAGTATTCCACTAAATATTGAACAAGCTGCCCAATAGCCATCAGGAGTCATCCTTTTAAGTGACAGGTTACTATAGTATTAAACTAGTGAAAAATAACACGTGTGTACACATACATTATATATAAACTGAATTAATATACGGAAGATAAAAGTAATGCTATGAATGCAATACAAAAGTAAGTTCTTCTTGTGAATATTTTCCATTTTTTAATAGGAACTTTGTGGACATTTCAAATAAAATGTACTCTAATGATCATCTCCATAAAATAGGTATTCTGCTATTTTGAAAAAAAGGCTATTAACATTAAGGTTTAGCACCCAAGTTGGGCTTTTGAGTATGCATTACAATACAGTCAAATTATGGAATAATTTGTTTCTCAACTACTGTCAATTTATTATACCATCCTAGATAAATTTACTATATTTGAGTCTTTCATTTTTATACTTAAAATAATGTATTTTTCATAAAGGTCTTGAATATTTTTGAGCAATTTATCTTTGCTATTCATTTAAATTTTGTCAGCACACATACTGTACTTTTTTCTTTTCAATTATTGGATTAATTTTCTTTAGGTACAGTTCAGGGGATTAAACAGTTGAGTATCTAATAGCTGCAAACTTCCATAGGTTATGTATGTTAGCAAGTCTTCACTGTTATTCTTACACAAAGTATTAACTAAATTAATGGAAAATGTTTGGCCTGGATGTACAGTACTGCATGTTATACATAGGCATTAAATTGAAAAATGCCAATTTAAAAATTAAAGTTACAAGCAACTGAAAACAGGGGATTAGGCTGGAAATGCTTATCCAGCCTTAATTATAAGCAGTACCCACCTCTCGCAGTATAATTGGACTAAGGCTCCATCTGGGATATAAATTTATGTATATTGACTGAATGGGAAACAAAATAAAACTGAACTTCATCTGTCACAGCAAAGATCAGCATGAGGGTATGTTAAATGTTACCATGGTGATTGCTAGGATACTTGTATAAAGTTAGCTCTATAAATGACTTGCTGCTTTGGAACAGATTTACATAAGTACTGTATATTCTTCTGGTGTGTGTATGTAATATATAAATCAACCAAACCAGTTTTGCTGTTCAAATGAAAAGATTCAGTTCTTACTGAGGGCCTATTCTGATTGACTTTCCAACCAATGTAGGATTGATTTTCATGTGATTTACATGGAAAAAGTAGTAAAATGTGTTTATTCTAACAGAGACAAGGTGGGTGAGGTAGTATCTTTTTATTGGACCAACTTCTGTTGGTGAGAGAGACAAGCTTTCAAGTTTCTCAGACCTGAAGAAGAGCTCTGTGTAAGGTAATCAGTGTCACAGCTAAATACAAGGTAGAACAGATTAAACATAAGGCGTTAATACATTGCGAGACCATTCAAGATGAAGAGGGCAGTTAATGCCTCTGCAGTCATAGGACAAAGGAGGGTAAGTGTTACAAATTGTTGTAATATACAGATTATTCCAACATGCATATCATCTATATTTAGCTACACTTAGGGTGCATTGCAAAGAAAGCCTTACAGGAAGGCATTCTGTTCCTGTACAAAACTTGCTCCAATATGGTGTACTACCTTTTTTACCTTATTATGAACACTCACTTATGTACAAAGTGAAAAAAAATGCTGCTATCCAGTTATGTTCAGGGTTCCCTTTGTGCCCAGGGTAGTGGCATATTCTTGTCTATTGTAATTTTTCTATATCATTTTCCAATGCCTTAGCATGGAATATTATTATTTATTTAAGCCAATGGTCACATTCTAATATGAATGCTTAACTCAGAAAAATATCAAGGTAGCTTTCGTGATTACAATGCATACATTTTAATGAGGCAATCTCTTCATCACCTCTTTGTAGAAGAAATCCCTTGGCACCTGATAATGGACTTTTGTTTTTTTCTTCCCACCTACCTCAGTCAAGCAATATATTCCAACAGGGTGTTCAGCATATTGAGGCAATGAGTACAGGATAATTTGTTTGCTCTAATTCAGGCCATAGCATTTTTATCCTCTTTTGCTTCTGGGCTACCATTTTACCTTCAGAAAACCCTAGTTTGCCATAACTGTCAACAGCAGATGCTGTGAAGGCATTGCAAACATTGCTTGTCTTCAACCAGCCACTCGAGGGTTTGAGGACATGAGTCTAGTGGTGCATGCTATGAAAATCCAGAGGCTACCTCAAAACATGCATCTGAGTTAAACTTTGCTGACAAGCAAGCCATCTGGCTGGTTTCTCACTCAACTGAAATTTCCTTGAAATCAAGATGCTAACCACAGGAGGTTCAAAGCAAGCATCTCACATAGCTTTAGAGTTTAGCACCAACCTGCTCAACATGACCCCTTCGTATCTCCAGCACAGCCAAGTTGTTATAAGCTTCTGCATGGTCATTATTATTGGCTAGGGTCAGCTTGAAACACTGGTAAGCCAAGTTCAGGTCACCTATTCCCTAAAAATATCAACAGAGTTTTTCACTCATCCAAAAGTTTGACAGTAAATTTCAGGTTGCTTAGTTGTCCTTTTTGTTTTAAAGGAATGTTTTTTCATCTGGATGTACTATTGTAAAATAAAAATTTTGTTACTTTAAATAAAAACACACTGACAGAAACCCTACACACAATTCCAGTTTTTCTCAATTGCCTTTTGCCCCCCTCTCCTCATATGGGGGCTTCTTACTCTAGTACAAATATCAGTATCTCTGGTCTGAAACATTTGCTAATGTTTCAATTATATGATTTAAACTGATACAATGCAAGGTCACCTTGAAACTGCCAAACACTAAGAAATACATGCATCATAGCTTTTAAACTTCTGAGGGTGTCAAAATGTATGCATTAAGGGTCTTATCCTAATTCCAGTAAAGTCAATGGAAGCAATCCCATTTACCTAAGGTAGAACACTGTTGAAAGCTAAATGGTGTACAGAAGTCTACTTCCAGGCAGGGAGTTAAAGAGAAATACAAACTAGGTTATGCATTAATGTGATATTCTCCTCCATATGAAAGGATTTTACAATGAACTCTATTAAAATGATAGAAAATTAACAAATTAGATAACTTGAATATCTTTACTGGACAATTACCACTTGTATTTCTGTTTTAAAAAGCAAGCTGTAACAGATGCACCTTCTCAGCCACAACACGTGCTACTCTAGGGTCTAATTCTATTCTAATACTCTAATTCGATTGCCATAAAAATTGTTATCCAATAGCATGTAGCAATCCAGCACTTCCTGTCTAAGGGGAAGCAGCTGTAGGAGAAACTACTTTTGAATCTGGTATCTTAGTCTAATAGGTTTGCAACAGAACAAGTTCCACCAGGTTCTGTCGGAGAGTCTTTCAGCAAGATGTGACAACATGCCAAACTGGAAGAATGAAAGTTTCCTCTCCTGGGGTTTCTTCCTGTTCTGAACTGTTAGTAAACCCTCACCCCAACTAAATATGTGCTGTGCTTCCAACTAAATATGTGCTGTGCTTTATTCTGTACTATCAGACTTCCATACTGTACATTTTTTCACAACAGGCCTTTGGGTCTATCATACCAAGTCCTTTTCCTTCAGCATTATTGTTTTTTTTTCTTTCAGTAAACTCATATTTATTCAGAAAAACTTTAATTTTTTCATACCACAGCCACATGCCCCAAGTTGTACCAAACATCTGCTGCCTCCTCCTCATTTTCAGCCAAAGAAAGTGCACGTTCAAGGGAGGTCAGTGTCATATCATACTGCTGGGCAAAGAAGCAACAGAGGCCCAGATTGTTAAATAGCTGGCAGTTATAAACACCCATCTGCAGGAGACGCCTAATTCAAGAGAAAAATAATTTAACAGTTTTAGATGTATTGCAAGTATGAATTTCTTTCTAAATGGGAAATCTTCCCTCCATCCCAACAGGATTAGGCATGCCTAAGTACATTACATAACAATAATATGATCTGAAAGAAGTAAAATAAATTGAGTTCAAAGCAAATGTGAATTTTAAAAAGTAAAAACCGCAGTTAATCGTGGGCAATGACCATCCTGTTTGTCTCTGCCTTTCAAACACCAATGGACACAGCACTGATTCTACACATAGAAATAGTCTATGCAAAATGCTGTGTGTGTAAATCGAAACTCTCACACTTTGGCTTGTCAGATGTGCCACTACATTTGCTTTTAGTGTAACTCAGAGTTGGATATATCCCTCATCGCCCAACCTTAAAGTTGTAACTTGTTGCTATCACTTTTTATAATCACTCTTTATACTTAAGTTATTTTGGCCCAACCCTGGGCTTTCAGCAAAAGTGAAATCAGAAATTATCTAACCTTTAATCTGATTTACATAGTAGGCATATTAGATGCTGCACATTAACTTTCAACAAAAATTTGAAAAGTGTGTTTTATTAAATTAGAACTCTTTTATAAGATTTAGAGGGAAAAGTACACGTAAGATTAGATCTTAGAATGAATGTAGCTGCTTTGCATGGGAGCACAGGCAAATTCTGGACCTAAAGCCAGCATAGCCAATGCCAGGGGGATCACCATAATGAAGGGAGATCTTCAGGTGGCATAGAACTAGCATAGATGCTGTAGTCCATAGAGCTAGCTTAGCCTTTTATTTTACTCAGAAGTAACACAAGGAATCTACAGGCCTGTACCATGTAAGACATCGGTTTAAACAAGTTAGCAGAAGTATGGTAGGCCTGTGATATAGCATAGATAAAATGGCCCAACAGTTACCCTAGATTTTGGGAAACTGGGAACAGCTTGCTCAATAGAGGGAGTTGGTACATAACAGTACTAGGCAACTACAGGAACACTGAACTGGTACTGGGCTTGGATATTTTAGGACAGAATCATTGGCAGATGTCTAACTACAAACTTGCTTGAGCAATAGGTGACTGTGTGATAATGAGTTAAATGACATTAATATGTTAACCTATAGGATAACTGCACCCCAATATTATGAGGGTGACAAAGTTAGATTTGGACATGGAAGGCTAAGCATCAGAATGATTGTGATAGTGCCCAGGCCCTATAATAGGACAAGCCACTTTGTAATGGGGGTTGGCGTTCCATCATTGACCGTTCAGCTCTTCATTATCTACCACCAATCTTTGGGCACTGAAGATCTGGGACCATCGGAATTATTTGGCATGCTGGAGGCAGGGCTGGTCCTTTGTCTCTCACGGCTAGGTCCCCAAGGAAGGGTGTAAGTATATGAGCATATGCAGGGAATGACACCAAAGATATCCCTAATACTGTATTACTCCATCTGTTTGTGTGATTTGCGGCTTTTTTGTCCTTACTAATTGGCTGTTATTAAAACAAGGCTTTGCTTTGCCCTCAGTATGAGTGTCTTTGCCATATATCCCAAGGTTCCCTACAAGACATTCAACTTACCAGTTTTAATGCTTTGGGGCGGGGGCAGGCTTCAGGGGGATGCGGGGTCTAGGACAGCCTGGGGAATTAGCAGGGGGTCTGGCGCCAGCAGTAGTGAGTGACCTGGCCCCAGCCCGCCCATGTCCCTGCTCTGCCCCCTTTCCCCCAAGCCCTCACCCCACCTCTTTCCGGCTTCCTCCCCCGAGCGATGCTGGGAGTCGGTGGAGTGTCTCAGTGCTGCTGGTGCCAGGCCCCCGCTAATCCCCCAGGCCACCCTGGACCTCGCATCCCCCTGAAGAGCAGGCCCCCCCCAAAGCACAGTAAGCCCAAACATTGATGGAGCCAGGCCCATGTTCCTAAATATTGGTGGAACATGGAGCCCATATAACTCGCTGCCAATCCTTCAAGGTGGTGTGTCCCTCCTGCAAAATGAAGTTGAAAATCAGGTCCTTTTGAGTCCCCTCTTCATTCATTAATCAGGTACTCAACCATTTTGATGCACTTTTATTTTAACAATCATCCTGCATATTAAGTGCTTAAGTGTAATTACCATATTATAGGTATAGAAGATATTAGAGTAGGTATGTTGGTGATACAGTAGGCAATATTTCTCCATTTGCTTAGACACCTTTGATTCCTACACCCTTGCATTTTCTTTGGCACTATCAATGTTACAAAAATATTTCTCTTCAATATTAATCTTTACTTGCGCACACACCTGTAAAACCGCAAAGCTATCTCAGGTTGGTCTGAATAAAAGTGGTTACTGCCAATGCATGCAATGGCTTCCACATGAGTGTTATCTTGTTTTAAGACTTCTCTGTAGTATTCTGCAGCTAAAGAGATGTTATTCATTTCCTGCACATCAAAAATACAAAAACAAATGAACAAATATTTTGCAAACTGTAGTAATCTTGCTTTTTATCATTTTATTAAGCTCTTATAAAGTGCCATAAACTTACACAGTGCTTTACAGGGCCTGGGGAAGGAGCTGGCAACCTAAGGGTATGCCTACACTGCAGCTGGGAGCGTGCTTTTCAGTGAAGGGAGACTGACATGGGTTGGCTTTTGCTTGAGCTAGTATGCTAAATTAAATGAGCACCAAGTATTACAATGAGTCTCTGAAAACTGGAATCATGGAATAATTTAGTAAGTTTGTTTCCAGTAGGAAGTGCCAATTAAAATGATCATATTGTATCTAAAAATACACCTGGATGTATGGTATTTGGATGGAGAAGTAGGATAGACTTTTTTGCTTCTTGTAACAACTAGACCTATGTCCCAGGTACTTTGAGGGGTTACTGTCACCAGAGAAACCGCCTCTTGTGGAAGATGCGCGAATGTACAAAATGTAGAGGTCATTCAAAAAGTGGTTTTTTTATTTGTTTAGAGAGCAGTTTGTTCCTCTACCCTATTGCTCATAAAACATCCTACAGTGTATCAAACTATCACCCTGAGCAATTTGACTGAAAACAGTCAAATTAAAACCTGTTCTATCACACAATAAAACTGTAGCAAATTAACTTATGCAAATTTACATTTCTCAAACAAGGAAACATACTAAATTTTAATAATAGTATGATCATTTAAAAACCTGGAGCAGATGGAAAGTGGCAGACCTTCTCTTTTTCTAATGCCTAAGGAGAAAGTGACAATGAAGGTGTTTGGTACATATGTCCCTCCAGGCATGTACAAAGAGAGCTGAATGGTTGTATGCGATGGTACAAATCTTTAATTAAGTTATAAATCTGTAGTTATGTGACACACCAAGGCCCATCAGTACAGAAACAAACATCTTTCTATAACAATGGTGCAGAGAAATATCTAATACAGTCTGCAGTACAAAAATTCATAAAAAGGCTGCATAATGTTAAGGATAGTCTACAGAATAATATGCCACATTATTTAAACACCGCTTTCTTAGCTGCGTTTAAAGATTCAGATAGGATGACCAGAAAAAGGATTGCAGATTTTTCTTTATAAAAAAAAACCAAAAACATTTACCTTGAAAATGGGTATTAGACAAAAATGGATGGCTTCTTCTTTATACTTTGAAATAGATTTATTGCCATTTCAGTGTACAAGGCAAACTACAACAATATAAAACTCAATACTTCTCTGTTTTTAATGGCAGCATTTTCTTTAATGCAAAATAAAAGCAACTACCTCTGATTATCAGCCTACAATGAAACCACTGTTCTATTTTAAAATATTAGTACCGTATATACTCATTCATTAGCCCGTTTGTTTATAAGCCGACTCCCCCAAGATGGTTAGGTAAAAATAGCAAAAACTGTATGATCCTTTCATAAGCCAATCCTATATTTCGGGGGTTAGCAAACTTTGGCTCCTGGCCCATTAGGGTAAGCCACTAGTGGGCCTGGACGTTTTGTTTACCTGGAGCGCTCACAGGCACGGACCCCCATTGGCTGGGAACGGCAAACCGCGGCCACAGGGATCCGAGGGGCTCCATGCCTGCAGACGCTACAAGTAAACAAAACGACAATGTATTAGATACTCAATTCAATGATTCCATAGAGTTTAATATCATCAAATTTATAAGCCAACCCCCACTCTTTGATGCATCACTTTTTAACCAAAAATATTTGGCTTATGAACGAGTATATACGGTAGTTACATTTAAAACAAATACCACCTAAGCTATGACACATTTCAACTTTACTTATTCACAATGACTTAATAGTACTAAGGAAGGCAGCACTGATCTGTAGACTATCCTGCTGTTTAAATCTACTAACAGGCCGTTTGAGACACCAGCACTTTTCTTCTCTTTTAGATCAATGAAAAATGTATAAGCCAATAATAGTACTAAATGGACAATCTGGAAATGCAACACTTGATTTAATGTGGATTTGTTTGTGTTTGAACAAGGAAAAGCATGGTCTGTTTGGTATAGTTAACCAACTGAACAAATAAGCCTGCAAGGCTGTCTTTATTTTGGTAGACTTTCTGTAACATTACCTGTTTCACATTAGTAATGCTGAAAAATAATGTGAATTTTTGATGACCTTACAAGCATATTGAACTTCTGGTCCTTTTTCCTGCATAAGAAAATAACCTTGTTTGCATTAGGGGTAGTGTAGTACATGCATACCTCATAGATTCTAGCAATCCCACAAAGAAGGGTCACTTCTCCAGGAAATTTATCTAATCCTTGCTTGAAAAGATGTAAAGCTGTCAAAGGCTGATCCAACCGAAAATACACCTGAGCAAAGAAAAAGTGTATATAAATGTCAAATATTGATATTCATGCTCAGACAGCTGTTTGACAAAAGAAGAGCTAGCAGCAAGAGAGAATCTTCTTTTGATGCAGAAGCCATTATCTCAAATAGTCATATGAGCATCATTGGGGAAAATCTTTGCAGTGATGCTAAAAATGTGACAGTCTTAATTATTTAAGTGCTAAAAACATGCCTGGAACTGTACAAGAACCACAGCAAGACATTTCCTGTCTCTATATTTATTACTTATAACATAGGTCCCTGGACCTATAATTCACAAAACTAACAACAACAAAAAGTCAGTGTGCACTGGGAGATTAAGATGATGTCACCTTAAATGTTTTAAACATATTAATCTAAAAAATGATGATGGTCACATTTTGAGCCTTATGGAAGAAGTGAGTCTTAAGAGGAATTTGAATGAAGAAAGTGTATTTTAGAATTCATGGAAAGTCTTCTACTCTGGCCAAATGACAAAGTGGACAGTGACATTTGCAAGCTTCCTCATATTGCTCTGCCAAAATGTCTCCAGTCATATTTAGACAAGACGATCCCTTGTCTAAAGGGTAGTTCAGTCTGCGTGGCCTGTCAATCTTTAGTTTTTGTGTTGGTAATACCAGTATGGTGCTAATAGTGATGTGGAGACCTGTCCTGTAAGAACTACAGTATAACTGGAAAGAGACCATCAACTGATGTCACAAAGACCATTTAAGCAGCACTCCGATAGTATAACTTTCTGAGACTACTGGAATGAAGCACATCTGAATCTGTTACAGAGAAGGAAAAAAGCCATATTCTACATGAATCACTCATGCCATTCAATTCCCCAAGCTGATTACTCATATGTCAGTAGAAAAGTGTTTCAGCTATATATACTTCAGAGTAAAGCAAGACACATTTAAAGTGCTTGTGCTAGTGGAATAACATAGTAAATAACGTTTGATTGTAATATATGAACAATGGACAAATAGCTGCCATTGGTGTTGTTTAATATAATAAGTGACCCAAAGGAGTAAAGCATCAACATTACAAATTAAAGAAACCATCACAGCTAGTAGCACAATACAGCTCTTCTGCTTTTGAGATTTATGCAGGGAATTCTGAATGCAAATGATCAAGTTATTATGGTCAAATCTTTAATTAATCTATAAACAGATATATGGTGCTTTGCATGCACACACAGTGGCATTCTTTGAAAAGTGACAATGGGGTAATTTTAATGATCTAATTGACAGCAAGTATTTCTCAAGTAAGGGACTGCAGTTTCAAACTGATCATGGTAAAATTAGAATTAGAATAGTAGGATCAGTGGAAAAATTTGCCTGATATTTGCTAAAAGAAGAACAGGAGTACTTGTGGCACCTTAGAGACTAACAAATTTATTAGAGCATAAGCTTTCGTGGACTACAGCCCACTTCTTCGGATGATATTTGCTAGTATCTCCTATATTAAGAAAAAAAAATCCTTCCTGGGGAGAAGGAATAAAGAAGATTGAGGCTAGCTGCTGCTTTTTCTTTTTTTCTTTTTTCTTTCTTCTGCTTGCTAGACCCTGACTGCACAAGTGACAGTATCAATTAAGCAGACATTTTAAGCAATGGGACATCAACAATCTATTCCTAGCACATTCCATCTGTGGATGTCACACGTGTGTTGTATCTAAAGCAGCCTTCAGAACATTCACTATACATTTCAGTTTATAATCTGTAGAGCAGCTTCAGATGGATTTAATATCTGCATTAAGCCTTAAACTTGAAAGAAATGTCTCCATTGTATCTGTCATGCTCATTTTCCTTTCTTTAATTAACATTTGAATTTATTTTACTATTTCTCATCAACTGCTTTCTACAATCAAATCTCTCTTTAAAGAGCTTCAGCAGAGAATATATAGATAAGAGAATACACGATAGTGGGTATAGCTTTTTAATTAGCAAGTGTTTGAGATGATCATATTACTCAATGTGGCAAACACGAATGACTTATGCAAGTCATCCTAAATAAGTGGAATTAACCCTTTACACAAACCACACCTGCATGTACCCCATAACTTACACACCATTTTAGAACTGTTTCTGAGAGAGTCTTTAAAATAGTTATTGATTATTTTGTATCCATCCACTGTAAAGCTCAGCTTTCCTTATACTATAAGTAAAACTGCACAAGCCTGAAGGGCATAAAATTAATTTTTAAAACCTCTTAAAAATAGCTTTTCAAATGATCAGAATGCTATGAAAGTCTGACATGTTGTATCCTTCTGGAGCTAACAGCAAGTGCTGAATGTTACCCCTTCTGGAGAGCTGGGAACCTCCTAATTCTCTGGTGTAAAAGTCCCATTTCCAGCTCTGCTGTCGTGAAATAATTTGACTCCTTGGAGTTCTTGACTTGTACAAAACAATTCCCTATTTCTTATTCCCCTTCCCCATCTTCTGGCCTTAAACCAATGTTTCTCAAAGCGTGGAGGAGGAAGATCTTAGGATTAGCCAGATTGATGTGCAAAAAACTGTTAGTTTTTCCACAAATCTCAACTTTCACTTTTTTTTTTAATTAAATCTCTACTTGTTATGGAGATTAAAATGTGACTAGGATGTAGCTGATACTGATGTCTGCCTGATTTTGCAGAGAGCCTGAAACAATACCTCTTTGATATGAACTGCTGCTAACCCAGATGCTAATTCACTACTCAAAGCACAGCAGAAGCATCATACTATAAAAAGCAATGCATGTGCTCTGAGTAATCACTTATTTTAGGGATGCCTTTCATAGCTGTATTGAAAAAGCAGGAGGGGAAATAGGTTTCCTTCTCTTGGGGGTGGTGTGTCAGCTTTCCAAAGTCTGCGGAAATACTGCCTTACGTAACATCTTTAGTGCAATCAAGTGAATAACTGAAGCACATGTAGACGTATTCGAGTAGCTTCAATCTACCTATCTCAAATAACAATGGTAGTGAAGCCCTGGCAGCAGGGGCTAGTCATTAGAATAGGCTTGCAAAGCCCATGCAGTCATGGCTTCATTGCTATTATTATTCAAGCTCCTAGATAAAAGATACCTTGAGGGCTTGTTTATATGGTCAGTTAGTGCAAAGCAAACCAGGGTGTAAAGCTGTTGCATGCCACCTGGCCATGTGGACCCTGCTACCGTGTACTAAAAGTTCTGTAGTGTGCTTTGACACACTCTTTCTGCCCACAAACTGTGTGGACAAGCCCTTAAACTGCAAGTTTCCTGGAGCAAGCCTGTCTCTCCTTGAATGTCTGGAAAAATGTCTAGAACATCATGTGCACTACCATAAACAACAATGTTGGTGTTTGAGTGGTGATGATGGTTCTTCAAGTGTTTTTGTATATCTTTATGATACAACTTTGTCAATTTCAAGGTCTTTCTGACTGCTACCAATAAATTCCTCTTATTTTGATGTCAGTTGAAAAAAACAGTTTTTAGATCCATCTAGTCACCCTTATTGGTTTATTTCATTGGTCTCCTAAGAAATCAGATAGCTACACATTAAATACAGCAACTCTGATCATTCCTCATCTGTATAGTTCTGATTGGGGTTTGTTGGCAGAGAGAACATAAAGCAGCAGAAGATGGTGTCTTCGAGACTTGCAGACACCACAAAGAAATCCAGTACTTAAACTATGCTCTTGCTTTTGTAAAGAGTTCTGCTAATCACAAATTATCGAATCCATGTAGAGGTCATAGTCTGAAGTACATGAATGCTTGAGCCTGAGGCAACAACAATCTAGCGAGTCTTCTGTTTTCAGTACTTACTTTTGTACTTCCCACACCATTCATCACTATTTTGATATTAAAGAACTGGAATGAGACAAGTTGTGGGGAAAAACATACAGCCAAAAAAAGCTCATCAATAATCCTTTAAAATAAAACCTTATTCTCACAAAACTTTAAAATTTTATACAATGGAAGTCTGAAAAATAACTTGTTCTATTTGTGTCAGTTCTGCTGTTTAAGTTAATTGCATTCTGAAAAGATTGGTGTATTTTAATACATTTTTAAATGGATTTGAAAAGCTACACAATCTGAAAAATGTATCAAGTTGGAAAGTCCCAGCTCGGCTGCCCCCTGGATTTTCATGTATAGATGAGAATTTCAAATTATTCTAAAGCAGGCAGATTTAATTTGATTTGAGAATATCTACTTACTTTTGCTAAATACAATACTGTATCTACCATGTCCTGCTGCTTGAGAGCTGATTTAAATTGTTTTTCTGCTTCACGGTACAATCCTAACCTAAGAGATAATAGATACGTACAGAAAGTTCTTTATTCAGCAATAATATAACTTGTTCAAACAAAGCACTATCCACTAAAAACAAATTAAAAATAACTCATTAAAGTGCCAAAAGTAACGTGGGGGTGGGTGGGGGGTATAAAAAATCATGCACGCGTATGCACCTGCTAAAAGAAAATTCCAGGTTCAAAAGTTAGGAAATGCCAGAATTGCCTTTGTAACCTTAATTCAGCGCCCTTGTGCATTTGCACTGACAGTCTTTTGATCACATACTATTTTTTTCCACAACACTCCTGCCTCATTCAGTATGCAGGATGGATCTGCCCTGGGAGTAAATCAGGGTCGTGTATTGAAAGGAACCTGTCTTTAGGACCCCAGCGTCATTTATTCCAGAAGTTGGAATGTGTGTAGTGAATGAGCTGGGGACAGCAGGAAGAGAAAGAATGGTCTCATCATTAAGGCAGTCAAATGCTGCCTGGGGAAATGGGTTCTATCCCTCTCTCTGCCACAGAATCCTTATATAATACTAGGCAAGTCACTTAAACCAATCTTTTCAGAGGTAGTCACTATGTATTCCTGACTTTCTGGGTGCCTGCCTGCAGTCTCACTGGAGAAATGGTGAGCACTCACAACTGCAACAGAAGTCAACAGGTGATGAGCTCTGAACATATAAAATACTGTATAATGAAATCTCAGGTCCTAGGTGTCTCAAACTGGGCACCAAAAATTTGTGGATCCTTTTGATTTTAATCTGTGTTTCAGTTCCTATCTGTAAAATGGGGACAGTATCCTTCATCTCACAGTGTGCAGTGAAAATAAATCCATTAATGTTTGTGGCACACTCAATCTGGCTCAACAATTGGCAGTCAAACTTCTGACAAACTGGTGGTTAGAAATTTGAAATATAATTTTGGAACTTCCTCGGAAAAGTTCTGCAGCCAACAGATGTGATTAAGTCAGCCCACTTCTGTGGAAGGAGAACATGTTTAAAATTTGGCAAAATTATAAGCGACCGGAAACTGGGTCTTATACTAGGAAGTTTTGAGCAACCTTAATAATAGCTGTTGTCACCCCTGCATATAATTGTGTCAAACACAAGGAGGAAGCTCCAGTGCTCAAAATATTGGAGCCTCGACATTATCTCAGATTGTGGGACAGGGTCTGCTCATTTTTTCATTAATATTCCCAAACTGTAGTCTTCCTTATTAATTAAATATATACCGTACTAGTAAGCCTCCTTATTTGAAAGATGAGACCATTTTATCTAAATTACGAGTCAAGCTCAAACCCTGCTTCACCAGAAAATGCCAATTTGTCTACACTTTCCAGAAATGGACTGGATCCACTGAATTTCTGGTGATACGTAGGCAGTGTTCTGGATGGAACCCTGCCTGCAATGCAGGCTTCAGGCCAGCTCACTTGGTGGGCTGCTGGGAACAACATGGCTTCCAGGTTTGATGGCTCCATGGGAGCTGCACCATATGGGCTATGTCGGAGTCAGGCGCCCAGGGGTTCACAGATTCCCTGCCATGGAACCAGGAGCCTGGAAGTGCCTCAGCTACAGCAGGGCCTGCTTCCATCTCTGCAGCAGGAACCCTGGGAGTCCAAGCTCCAATGCTCCTGGCTCAGCCGTGTCTCTCAGGGCTTCTAGGCTCCCAGCTTCACATGACTCCATTGGGTGCGCCCAGGATCAATTTTGTTTCAAAATATTCTAAATGAAATGCTTTGATTATTTCAAAATGATTTTTTTTTCCTTCTAGGAAATTTCAATTTTTTTGTTTCAAAATGGAACAATGTTTGGAATTTCCTGTAAAACTAATTCCAACTTTGACCAGCTCTAATTTTATTATATTGCCATCCCTTAACTACTTTACTATACGAACACCTCTTAGTACTATACAATTCGACCTTGAAGTTTAGGAAATACTGTACAATTATAAGAAACTAAAGTTCATGTTCCTCAGATCACAATCAATCACTAAAGAATAGAAAAATGGCTTACCTATAGTAGCATTTCCCAATTTGGACTTTCCACCACCAGTCCTTGTACTGTGCATGCTCTGTGGCAAGTGCTGCCAAATCTAAAGCCTTTAAAAAATACACAGACACACACCCACACCTTAAAACTGGCATTTCCAGGTTTCAACAAAGAATACTGAAGAAAAATACAAGCTGTAAAGAACAGCAAAATGTAAAAATATTGAATAAGATGCTTTGGTACATACAGACATTGTTTTTTACATATAGACTACGGAAGGATTATTACTTTATTTCTATGAAGATTGAATCATAAAATGTTTGAAAGGATTACAGCAGGATGTAATCATACATGCTTTTTAACAGTTATACATAATGCAAAAGAGGAACTAGGGAACACATTTAATGAGATTGTAGAGACTATGTAAGGTATCCATAAGTCTAAGCATAGACATTTTTCACGTTTTCCCATCATCCATGGGGGAAATTTACTAAAAGCGACTTTTTCTTTAAAAAAAAAAAAGTTTAAGTGCTGAGGTAGTTCTGCTTGAGATAGTGTACAAATTATCTTGGTTTTGGTGATATCAGGCCTTTTCCACCTGGATCATTTGAGTACAGTGCACTTTCAAATGAGTATGGGGAAAAAAATAGGAAGGCTTTTCTCCCTCCTAATCCTCCACAGTCAGCGATGTTTGAAAGGTAGGTATGCTATTCAACACACTTTGCTTGAACAGGGACCATTAGAAGGGTCATATTTCCACAGATTAAAAATCAGAAAGACGCTCTAGTTTATTTATTTATTTTTTTTTTTTAATTTCTGATTTCAGGTCATGGCATATTGTGCTGAAAGAATTATAGTCTATACTGTATTGAAAGGCTATAAAACATACAAGCTGCAGAATTGTTTGAAATTCCATTTTCCATCATAACATAAGATGTCAGAGTAAAAGCTACACTTCCATTATAGCAGTTTCACCAGAAATAGTCTAAAAAGCTTTTAAACAAAATATTATGAAAATAGACATACGTGGCCATGAAGCTCAGAATTGACTTGATTTCTTCATAACTATTTCATAGAACCACAGAAATCAGAAATGGAAGACTCCTATTACAGTAGCTAAACCAAGGGCTGGTAGAGAACTGTTTCTTAGGTATGTGTTTTGTTTTGTATGTGTGTTGTTTTTGTTTTGTTGTATTTTTACAGTAAACTAGTAAAGTTCTTGTGTATGCAATACAGAAACAACTGATAGCTGTATATCTGAAATGCCAATATTAAGTTGACCAAGTGGCAAGTGTTTCTGGGTTTTGATTCCCAGTTGCTTGCTCCTGCAGCTAGCACAATTAGGACTGCTTTAAAGACAGCAGGCCAGATCTTCAGCTGGTGTAAAATTGTCATAGCTGCATTGACTTGAACAAAGCTACAATGCTTCACTCAAGTTGAGGACCTGTCCCAGCATATTCAATTCTGAGAAAGAGAGACTTGCTTTGTGTAATCCTCCAGAAAACTAAGGAAACATATTGATCAAATCCTACCCATCAAATCCTGAAATCTTTAGTCTCAGTGGTGCTATGCATGGATCTAGTTGTTCAAAAAAACTTGAAGTTCACTAACTGAAGCCACTAACTGGGGGGGGAGGGGGAGAGGGGAAAGGGGGAAGCACAGATTTAAAACCTCCCTTAATTTGTATTTGTTTATTGGGGTACATAAGATGTCAAATTACATGCCTGCTCACAATGTATTTGAAATAGGTATTACAATGAGAAAAGGCCAAAATGCAATCAATGCATGTGAAGAGAAACGTCCTGAGTGTATTTTGGTGACAAGCATAGCAACTACAGTGGATGTTAATGTTCTTTGCCTTAAATTTTTAAAAATGCAGTTATAAAAACAGAACATAGTGTGCTTTACTCCACCCATGGAGTGTGCTTTGCTGGGGGTTGGCACTTATCAAGGCAATACTATGGGCTGGGATTATTAATCAGTATACAATATGTTTGCTGCTGTTCCTTAAGAAAAATTGTAATGAGAGCATCACTAAACTTTCAAGCATGTCAGACTCTGGTATTCCACTCTTTGGTTGAAATGAGCTCAGCAGAAGATGAACAATTTCTGAGCAAGGCTTTTAAATTGTCCCATTTTCACTGACATTTAGCCCACACTGTTTAGTCCACAAAATGAAAATCAAGAATAGTTCAGTGTCTAAAAAGAGTCAGTTATTGATGAATGATCCCAAAAGGAAACAAGAGTGAACAGCAATAATGGAGGAATCATTTCCTCTGAGAATAGGTATTTATTTTTCCTTAAGTGAAATAAAGGGATACTGGATACATTTTTGAAAAAAGTATTAAATACTGTATTAAAGAAATACTGTGATTTCCTCCACTCCTATCTCAAAAACCGGTAGATTTTTGCTGTATTTGCTATTAATATAGATAAAATACTTTATATTGTGTATGTTTAATCAAATCTGCATACAACTGTACAATGGTATTCTTTAATACAAATTGACAAGGAACTCAGCAGTACTTAAAGGAGTGGTTGAGAACTAAATGGAGGTGAAAAAAAGACTTAAGGCTTGTTTATTAATTATATTGCAGAAGACAACAGTGCAAGTCCTTCAAGATGGGCAAAATGAGACAAAGATCCCCTTTCTCTACTAATATTTTTCCATCTTATTTGTAAATATTTAATATCTTTCTTTGGATGCGATTACAAGTTTGGCTGGTAAAGGTAATAGTGTTGATGTAATATACTTAGACTTCTGTAAGGGATCTGACTTGGTACCACATGACATTTTGATTAAAAAAAATTAAAAAGATACGTAATTAACATGACAAAGTAAATGGCTTAAAAGAGGTCTAAACAATAAATCTCAGTGTAGTTGTAAACAGGATATCATCTTTGAAAATGTGTTTTTAGTGAGGGCCAGCAAGGATCAGTTCTTGGCCCTATACTATTTAACATCATTATTAATGACCTGGAAGAAAACATAAAATCATGACGGATAAAGTCTGCAGATGACACACACATTAGGGGAGTGGAAAATGATACACTAATACAGAGTAATCTGGATTGCATGTAAACTGGGCACAAGCAAACAATATGCTTTTTCATATGGCTAAATGTTTACATGTAGGAACAAATAATGGCCGGCACTGTGATGGGGGTGTTCATGCCACACCAGCACTGATGGGGTTAAGGTGCCTCAGAAGGGGCCAATTAACCATATAGGCTGCACCTTGGGGAGAGCCAGGGACTGATAAAGGCTAATTGTTGATGAAACCCAGCTGTGTAGGGGCAGGCTGAGCTTGTATAAAACCAGGAAGTTTGCAGCAAAAAGGGGCAGTAGGGAGGGAGTCCACACTCATTCTCTGGACACAGAGAGCTGGGCTGGAGGAGATCCAGGAAGGAGCAAAAGCCCTGGTATCCTAGCCCTTCAGGAAGGGTTCACCCAGAGGAGTTGCAGGAAGAAAGCCTGTGGAATGCAGAGTAGGAAGAAACTCAGGGAAAGAGCTGCGAAGGCAGAGATTGTGTAGAGCTTGGCTGCTGATTATAGGGTCTCTGGGTAGTGGGCAGGCCTGGGTTCCCCTACCAACCACTGGGAAAGTGGCATGGACTTGGAATTGGCATGGAGGACTGCCTGTGACAGCATCTGGACAGACTGTCCAGAGGGACTTTGATACCTTGGAAAGAGAAAACGATATAGTGACCTAGATGGAGGCTGAGTCATGAAGAGAGAGTACCCTGAGTCCCAGAGAGCAAGAAAGGCCCCAGGGCAAGTGAGCAACAGAAGAAGGTGCGAGACTGGATGAGAGCTGATCCCCAGACCCAACCAGATGGGGTGCCTCAACAGTGAGTAAAACTCTGCTTACACAATAGGGGACCCTATCCTGGGAAGCAATGACTCAAAAAAAATATTGCGGGATTATGGTGGATAATCAGCTGAATATGAATTCCTAGTGCGACACTGTGGCCAAAAGGGCTAATGTGATTCTTTGATGCATAAACAGGGGAATCTCAAGTAGAGATGCTATTTTAACTCTGTATTTGGCAAAGATGTAACGGTTGCTGGAATACTATGTCCAGTTCTCATGTCCACAATTCAAGGATGTTGATTAAACTGGAGGGGGTTCAGAGAAAAGCTACAAGATTGATTACAGAACTAGAAAAAAAGCCTTCTAGTAACAGACACACAGAGTTTAATCATTTAGATTAACAAACAGAAGGTTAATGGGTGACTTGATTATAGTCTGTAAGTACCTACATGGAGAACACGTATTTGATAATGGGCTAGCAGAATAACATGATCCAATGGCTGGATTTTGAAGCTAGACAGATTCATATTGGAAATATGGTGTAAATTTATAACAGAGTAATTAACCATTGGAACAATTTAGTAAGGGTTGTGGTGGACTCTCCAACATTGGCCATTTTAAAATCAAGATTGGATTTTTTTTTTCTAAAATATAAGATCTAGGAATTATTTTGAGGCAGTTCTATGTCCTGTTTTATACAGGAGATGGACTAGATGATCCCAGTGTTCCCTTCTGGCCTTTGACAATCTATGAAATCACATTAGGAAGCATATATCGCAACCTGTGAATTGACTCTTGGACTCCACCCACAGCCTCAGAATTAGTTCCACAGCCAATTGTGGACAAGATGCAGAGCTAGTCTGTTCTGTACCTTCCCACATTCATGGACAGGTCAGGAGTGTAGTTTTCTCTGACTTGTGTATAGCCAACTATGGGAACTGCTCTTCTGTGTCCACTGTTGCAGGAAACTTGCCTGGACAGTGGCTCTTCAAGCCTTCTGGTACTCTTCTTCTTTCACCCAGAGGGCAGCTTCTTAGGTCTTGGGACCACTAGTCTCCACACCTCATCCCTTTCCAAAAGAGTCATCTTAGGCTGCAAGGATAACCCAGCCCTTCATTACTGAATGACCAAGTGACCAAGAGTGCCTCTCTCAGGGAGAGGTGGGTGGGTGAATGAGTGAAGTGACTGGGATGAACAGGTGAGTAAGGGGTGAATTTAATTGATTTGAAGGAAAGAGTTGGGGGTTTTTTTTCGGGGGGGGGGGGGTTTGTTCTTTGTTTTTTGTGTGTGGTTTTTTTTTTTTTTTTTTTTTTTTTTTTTTTTACTAAGATGAAGTAATGGGAGGACTTGTTAAG